TTCTTAAAATGTTGTAGGATGTTGGTAACATTTAAAGAATTTTTTCTCACATAGAGATTTCTTAAACAACACTCTTCTAAATACCTTAAAATTCTATTCTCAAAAGGTTGTTTTTATTTTTCATATAAACAAGATCATGCATGCAATACAAATGATAATATATAGATGTACATATTTTATTTTTTTATATAAAAAATATTGGTTTTCTAGTTTGTTATTATCTATTTATTTTTACTTTATTTCATTATTATTTTGTTTGGAAAAAAAGAGAAATTTTTATTATATTAAAAATTTTTTATAAATACTCTAATATGCTAGTAACATTTAAAAAAAATATTTTCACCTAGATTTTTTTAAGGCATCACTATTCAAAATACCGTAAAGTCTCATTATCGAGTAAAAATTTATTTTCCTTCATTTTTATTATTTTTATTAATAGGTTTTAGTTAAAATTTTTTTATTTTTACTTTTTTAGAAAAAAGGAAGATTTTTATTATATTGAAAACATTTTATAAATACTCTAATATGTTGGTAGTATTTAAAAATAATCTTCTCACTTACAGATTTTGTAGGCATCGTTACTTAGAATAACTTAGACTCTTGTCATCGGATAAAAAAAATTTTTCCTTATTTTTTAAATATTTTTGTTTAGTTTTTAGTTATTTTTATTTTTTCCAAATTAAAAAAGTATCAAAAGTTTAGAAATTATTATTATTTTTAAAAGATAATGTATATTTATTTTTTGGAAATTTTGAAAATAAAAATGTGTGTGAATAAGAAACTAAATAACAAAATAATAATAAAAAATAAATATAAAAAATCAAAAAATATAAAATTACCTAAACCGGCCAGTTTGGAGTAATTCAATGAGTTTGGTCCAATTCGGATGAACTAGCATCAATTTGAAAGGAAAGGGAGCGGTTCAGCTGAATCCGATTTGGTTTAATGGCGGTTTAGGCATCTAACAGTGGTTTGGTCATTGGTTTAGTCAGACCGATTCAAGGCTGGTTGAAGGGTGTTATGGCAGGTCGGGTGTCTGGGCTTTAGGTTGACCTACAGGTTGACATGGAGATCCAAAAAAACTCAAAATGGCCTCATTTTGTCCTTTTCCTTTTATATAAAAACCACATTTTTTTTCAACTCACTTTCATCCCTCTTTACAAAAAAAAAAAAAGAAAAAAATTCAAAAACTCTCTCAACCTTCCCCTAACAATCTCAAAATCTAATCACTGTCCATAACGTCAACTACCATTCTCCTCCCCATTGGTCGTCATGCTTCACCGTCGTTGATCATCAGAAAGCCCAAAAAACACCTAAAAAGCTCTTTTTAATCTCCTCTACCTCGTTCCAACATTCTTTTCACCAAAATCCTAGATCCAATCCAATACCCTTTGGTTAAACCTTAAAAAAGAAAACTAAAATTTTTGCTTATCTTTTTTTTTTTTATTTCTTTGTTGATTTTTTTTTATATTGGTGCTAGCACTAGGTAATTTGCCCGAAAAGGATTGTGATTGATTTTTTTTTTGTTATGTTTGTTATTTGTTTTCTCATAGGTTAAAAATGATTTTTTTTTCGATTTGACAGAAGCTTTTTTTTGGTTTTTTTTTATGTTTTTTTTAAACAAAATTTCCTCATTTTTTTCCTTGGTTCGATTGTTTTCTAGTAGAATCTTCGCTTTTTTTTTCTTCTCTTTTTTATGCTTCATAAAGCTCATTTTATAGAGCTTAAACAGAGGAATAAACTCACATTTCTAGTCATAATCTCTGCTACAAGGGAGATGGTGACAGTGGGCAATTAGATGATGGTGGGCAATTCAAGTTAGGTGGTTAGGTGATAGCAAGTGGACTGGGGTGGCTCAAGCAACAGGGTTGCCAATCCCATGCATGTCATCTACTATTATCGGACCCTGATTTCTCTTTTTTTATATTTTATTTAATATTAAATTATAAAATTATATAAATAATAAAATAAAATAAAAATAAAAATAATGGGTTTTCTAACAGGTTCAGACAAAAAATGAAATTGAGCCCAAGTGATTTTGTTGGGCCAAAAAAATTGAAATTAAGCTTTGGCCTAACAAAATTTGGATCTATAAATACCAATATCCATTTTACGTGAAATTAGGCCTTAACCCATATAAACTCGAATAAAAGTTCAACGTGCATAATTGAACTTGATAAAACCTAATGAATTTGAAACCAACACTCAATTCAGAGAATTTGGATAAAATTTGACATTTATAATTGTCATAAAAAATTTGTTGTTATTACATAGCATATATATTCCTTCCTTTAATCCACAATAATAAGTTCTTTCTTAAAGCTAACCTATAATCATGCTTAACTCTTAATTAAATAATAAATAATAAATAATAAAACCTCAATCAAATAGGCTAGCATCAACCAATCATGAACAACTAGACGAGAGTTACATGAATGTAAGTTTTTCTCAAATTTTTAATCGCAAACTTCAACAACATATAAAGCATTCTTCTAAATATATAAAGCGTTTTTGCTTACTTTAAAAAGATGGAACCCATTGTGTTCTTTGATTTTTAACCTCAACTTCAATCATCTAAAATCTCAAATCCTAACTAAGAAAGTAAGAGTTCTTTTTTTTTTATCGTCAAAATAATATTACTTTCTTAAGACCAAAGATATTATATGTAAGACCTCACTTACTCAAATTAAAATGTTAATAGGCCCGCAATGTACCATGGGCCATGTGTTCTTTGGCCCACTGTGATTAACGTTGGGATATCACAATAGTGTTGATATCATAGTTAAGCCTGATCTGAACCCACCCTGGCAACACAGCTATTTGTCTTTGTGATCGAGGAGCTTTGATGCAACAAGGTTAGGTCCTCCAATGGCCACCAAATTACTGGTTTGCATTTTACAAGGGGGGTTCGTTTATTGGACCTGCTTGAGGCCTTTTTCAGCGCACTCCCCACGACCCCTCACCACTGCAAAAGGCAACCAGCTAAGGTTGATATGAAAATCATTTTCATTAATTCTCATCGATTTTATCAGCATTTTAAATGTCAAATATATTAAATAATTAAATAATATATATCAAACATAAATGTCTTTAATTATCATTTTTTCCTTTTCATAGTATCATCACCATTATTTTATTAAAAAAATATATTGTTATACGGTTAGTTACAATCTTATCACCAAACTCCTAATAATTTCACCATTACAATTGCAATCTAATGATTGTGCCAAACCATCTCTTACAGTTCATTCGAAATAATGGTGACTGAAAACAGTGGCTACAATTAAGAATGATATTGATATTAAAAATTGTACTGGTAAGATTGAAATTAATAAAAAATGAAGAGATAATGTGTTTAGCACCAAACCAATGGTGACAATGAAAAAAAAATCATTTTATGCATATTTTGTAATTTATATGATATTATTATCAATACAAAAAAAAAAAAAAACATAAGAGATCACAGTTTGAAAATAAAAAATATATATTATACGTGTTAAAATTTGAATTTTAAATATATTAAATTTGAAATTATTTTTTTAAAATATATATATATATATATAAACCAACTAAATTAAATTCTGAGTTCATCAATATTAAAAAATTTATTAATAAATTATTAACCAATTAGTCATTATATTATATCAACACAAAATTCCTAAATTATTATTTTATAAAAAAATGTTTTATATGTACAAGGAATAGAATAATAATTATTTACTATTTCAACTTTTTTTTTTTTTGCTTTATTACAAATTATTCATGGCTTATATAATTATTTACTTACTTTTAGTTATTAAATAATTAGTAAGAACTTATGTATATACTTTTTATTACTAAAAACTGTTAATGATTAGACTCCCTTATCTATACGTTATTTATTTTTAGTTGTTAACTAATTAGATTTCTAGTATAAGCAGCAAAATTAACCCAAACCTGAATTAATTAAAAAGGCAAAAACCTAATTTTGAAATGACTCTAATCTAAAATTGATTCAAACGAAAGTCATTATAGCTTGAATTTAACACTAAAAATGTAAAATTTGATTACTCATTTCATTTTATTTTATTTTAAAGTCAAATCAAATTAAAGCGATTTAAATTCAAAATAATTTAAATTTGAAAAAAAAAATGAATTAAAATAATTTAAACTTGGAACAATATGAAATTTTTGCAAGCCAAACTTGAAATGCTCCAATTGTACCCCACTCATTAACCATCATTAGTATGTAGGTTAAAGGAGACTTTTGACTAAAAACCAATTAATTAAGGGTAAAATTGAAGAAAAAAAAAAAAAGAAACAAATAGCAGGAGAATAGAAAAGTAAGGACGAATAAATCCATATCAAGAAGAGCATTTTCATTTTGATTTATTTTTCTTATCAGCCCTCGGACTTTGTTCTTGAAACTTAAATGTCAAGCACCTTGCCAACGAAGACAAGAGCCGGTCTAGAAGTGAATTTTCGATACAACGGTTTAGCATCAAAGGCAAAAGGGGAAAGAAAAAATAACAAACGGCAACGGTATAAAACCTGCGTCGCCTGCTAGACCACAAAAATAATAGTAATTCGATATCAAATTGAGTTGAAATTAAATGAAATATTTTCAAAAATCCAATCAAACACGCTGTTATTCTACTAGTCTTGTTAAACCCAAGTGCTTTTGCGGAGGAATACGGAGGTCCAATGTACTTTGGGTTGGTTTTCTTCTGCGGTGGAAGCCTAGCCGAAGGTTAGTCGTTCTGCAATTGTACGATTTTGAGCTTAATCCACCGTGGTGAGGGAATGGTAACGGCCCTAACTTGTTGGGTTGGAGCCGAGAAATAGCCTTTGTTCCAACAGATGAGCCGATTAGACTCTCTCTCTAATAGCACCCAGGTTGGGTACCTTTCTTTATCCTTGACCCATAAGTAAAAGCCCATAATAATATATTACTAGATTTTGCCGAAAAAGAAAGCCCAATCCAAGAAAACGAAGGCAGTGAAAAATCGTACTGTTTTTATTCGTTCCAAAATTTTAGCCTTTTTACTTCCCCACTCATCAACAGCGTGGAAAGATGAGCTTTGAGCTTGAGATTGGGATTGAATAAATAAATGATCAGAAGATTATAGCAGCAGCAAAGCAAGATCCTCTTCTTCTGACTCTTTACCTTTTCATCATCTGTCGTCAGCAACCGGTAAGCGTTATTTTTCTCGATCAAATTTGTTTCCCCAACTTCAAGTCTTCGCCTTCTTTCTTTGTCTTTTGATTTTGCTCTCTTTTATATATTCACTAACTTTTTCTCTTTCCAACTCAGTGAGCCGCTATGGCGACGACTAAGTGCCCTGCTCCTCCAAATTCCAACCAAGATAAACCCCAAACAACTTCAGGTCTGATTTCCCTTTTCTCTCTATTTTTCTTTTTTAATTCTTTTCAATTTTCTTAGTTATTGTATAGTCTGTAAGCTTCATAACTTTGACATTCTATTAACACAGAATTAAAACCCAAATTCGTATATGAATTTCCTTATTTAAAGCTGACTTATATGCTGTGTTTTAAGAAAAAGAGAGTCATTGCTTTAGATACATGTTAGAAATTGGAAGCAATTAAAAGGGAAAAAATTGGTATATGTAAGGATAAATAAATAAATAATTCTAATTTGTTTTCCAAAAAAAAAAAAGAGTAATTCTAATTTTAGAAACCCATTTCTGCAGAGGTTGTTCAACAGGCAAATGAGGTTCAACAAGATTTTAGGCCAGAGGATAATAAACAGAATGATCCAGCATCTGTGTTTGTGAACTCTGAACCAATACGAGAGGACCAAATTTTGAATGCTGTCAAATTTCTTTCACATCCCAAAGTTAGGGGTTCTCCTGTTATTTATAGAAGATCCTTTCTCGAGAGAAAAGGCCTTACAAAAGAGGAGATAGATGAAGCTTTCCAACGTGTGCCTGTAATATAATTGTTTTATTATGGCTCATTATCTTGACATTTTAATTCTGTTTATATGTGTTTATGAAGCATTCATTGATTCTTAACAGGACCCACCTCCTAGTTCACAGCCACCTAGTTTGAATCAAGGTAATTCATTGTACTAGTTAAGTGGGAGTCAAACTTTTTTTTCCTTATCCTTGCATCACTAATGCTGCTTTGTTACTGTATCAAAATGCAATCAGATGGGCAAGTGAAGTCTTCATCTAACGTTCAAGCTCAAGCCACAATGCAAACTCCCCAGCCTGTGGCAGCTGCTCCTCCTGGTAATGCATCTGTGGGGACACTTGCACGATCACAGTTTCATTGGTATCATGTTGTTTTTGCGGTAGGTTTACTGGCAGCTTCAGGAGCTGGCACAGCTGTATTGATCAAGGTATCAACATCTTCTATTGTTTTATTACCCAAAAGAATACATTTACTATCATTTCGTATTTAGTAAGGTATGTTAGATGTTAGTGCCTAGCCTAATTTAATATTCCATTGCCATGACTTCAAGCAGCTTATATCCAGCTTCAAGTGCAATTTCATAATCTAGGTTTTTCTCATAGTTATCTTTCATGGTCTGATAACTTCTCTTTTGTGTTAGAATGCTATTATCCCAAGGTTGAAATCTTGGATACGTAAAGTTGTGTTGGAAGAAGAAAATGACCATGCAAAGAAAAGTGATGCAAAACCAAGTTTGTTAGAAGAGGCAGCAGCTGCAGCAAAAGCTGCTGCGGCTGCAGCTGCTGATGTTGCAAAAACAAGCCAGGAAATGTTAAACTCAAAATTGTTTAGTGGTTTTTTGCTGAGTAGTTTGATTAATTTTGTTGTCTTTTTTTATTCTGATTAATATTCTTCTTATTTACTGATTTTGATCTTGTCAAGAAGCGCTTTGAGAAATTTATGAATCTGATAGATGTTCAAGTACAAGAAATGAAGTCGATGAGTAATGCCATAAGGAAATTGGAAGGTATGTAGATGTTAATTTTTAGTCTAGCTGGATCTTATGAAATATTCATGGACTTGGGTTCGTGATCTTTTCCTATTGTGTCCTTGCTTATATCTGAATTGTTGCATGCTAAACAAATGGTTCATAAATAAATGAATGATAGCTAAAGAAAATAATGTTTTGTTCAGGTTGCTACTATGACCTTAGTTAATAAACAACCTGCTGGAAATTAATTTAGCTGTGGATATTGATACCTTTCCTCTAGAGCATTCTCTTAAATTTCTGGCACACAAGTTTCTGAACTCATGATAAACTAGACGAGAAGATGATATGATAAATACATTCTTTTTTTTCTTTTTTAAGTCTGTTTTTCTCCAAATAACAAGAGCTTTGTACTTTCTTTATGCTCCTACTGTTAATGGGTGCTTTAAGTTTAAGTTTAGCTATCTTACCAAGAGATTTTGACCTCAAAACACTAGAACTTTATATTGTGAAAATGTGAATTGAAAAAATTGTTAGCTTAAGGCTTTCTAAGTTGAAATTGGGTTTTCTGCAATCTAATTCTCTCCTCAAAGCGTCAGCTTTTCTTGGTTTTCAGGATTGTACATCTAGGCTGTAACAGGGCACATGGTCCTCAGTGCTTTTAAATTTTAATTATGTGCATAAAAGTCCAATTCTATGATTATTGGGTGAACATGAGAGAAAAGATGTAAGGAACCCAAAAGAATAGCAAGGGTTTTTTTGGAAGATACAGCTTGGAAGAAGAGTTCTCTTCTTCTCTTTGCTAGCTCAATACTCAGCAAACTGTTTTCTTGTATTCTTGACACTTGGTAGGAGCCCTCATGATAATGATTTATTATACTGACTTTGGTTGGCATTTGATAACTTCCAAAATGCCATTTTGTGTCAATGGTTCTGCTTGCTTACTGCTCTGGGGGCACCTCCTGAAATTAATTATAATGGCTTTATTGTCTTTCTGTGCCTGAATGTAATTTAGATTTCGTTGTAAGACATCCCAATGGTGGTTGGCTAGTTGTTTTAGTTCATTACTAATTTTCTTATTTGTCTAACCATTAGGACAAGCTAATAGCTCTGGTAGAACATTCATTGATCATGAAGGTCATAGAGTATCAGCCTCAAGTACAAAGGTATGCTGAAACTGAATGTTAACTCTGGATGCTTCATTTCTGCACTGGAAAATAAATTCTCTGATCCCAGTTTGAGTTGTGCAAGATGATTTATTACTAAATAAAAAATGGCTTTACAGCAATCCTATGCAAATGGCAAGGCGGATGCTGATGCGCGCTCAGGTAATTTTCCTGTGATTAATATTCTGGGAGTTAGTTGTGTAGTCTGTCAAACAGTTTGAATTCATGTATTATGTTACTATGATTTTCTATGCAGTGAGATCCTCATCACCACCTACATCTGCGGAACCACCTCACCCAAAGTCATATATGGAGGTAGTAATTCTCTTTATCTTTTTGCTACTTAGACATCCTTAAAATACTAACTATAATAAATGTTCCACTGTACTGCTTAATTAATTTACTTGCCATCCTTAATTCACTTAGACCAAGCTGTGACCGAGTATCACTATTTAATATTGGTGGTCTTACAATCCATTTATAACAGTTCCAAACCATATTTTGGATAGGTTTTGAAGACATTTTGCTAATTGATACTTGTAATTATGTTGCAGATTATGGCAATGATCCAAAGAGGGGAGAAACCTTCAAATATCAGAGTAATCGGGTTCACATAGAAATGTTGATATTGGCTTGTTTACTGCATCGATGGTAACTTCATCATTTCTGATTCATATGCAGGAAGTTAATGATATGCCTCCCAACCCTAACCAACAACCTTCAAATCCTCTCATAGCACCAAGAACTAAGGTGTGTTTTAGAGTTTTTCCATAATCTTTCGGATCATTTTCCCTTGCATTGTATTCTTATAGACTACTAGGATTCCAATTCAATATGGTTAACTAAACATCTTTTAAAAGTGGGATATTTTGAGTATTATATTTCAAGAGTTTGTCTGTCACTTATCTGGGGTAATAATCAATCTATTTACCAATCAGTTACTGATATCATGTTTGGACAAAAAGGGTAGCCCTCTGCATCAGGTTTCTGCATCTCATGGTGTGGGGAGAGTCAATCTTAGGAAACCAAAATTAAATCTTTACCACCATGTTTTTCTTTTGGATGATTTTCAAGTTTCCACTGGGTGTATGCCATTAGAATGTTAGAATCCTTGAAAATATGGGTAGTTCTTTTGTGCTGAGAAATATGACTAGTCAAAGGTAGTGTCAACCTGCCTTTAATTTGCTCCAATCTGACTACAATTTTTTTTCTTAAAATTGGGTAGCCTTGGGAGGCCCAAAATGGCTCCAGCCAGGTACTCCAGTCTCAAGTAAGTGCTGAAGGCTTGAATCAAAAAGTACAAGGCAATGGGTTAAACTATCTGGATGATGATGAGGACTCAACGCCTTGGTGGCAACGGAAAAATGTCAGAATCACAGAGATTGAAAATGAAGACGAACTTAAGGCTGGAGCTTATGGGATGAAAACCAATGAACAACCAGTTCAACGTACATGGGTTCCTCCTCAGCCACCACCTGTGGCAATGCCTGAAGCAGCTGAAGCCATTCGACGGCCAAAATCATCAGCTCTTAAAGAAACTGGTGCACAACAATTAACTGATGAACAGTCAGTGGCTCGACCCTCAGAGGTAACTGATGAGTTACAAAAGATCGCAAAAATATCTGAGTCAGCAGGTGCAATGGAGTTGAATGGGGGTTTTTCGGGTGTAAAGTCCACTGAGATACAAGAACATGAACACAGCTTTGAAGGGAACTGAAGCCGGATTCACTCTCCAGGGTAAGCTTGATCTAAGGTTTACGGATGCATATGTTTAAAAAAGATAGAAAGCAGCCAAGATTATTTTTCTGTCATCATCTAAACTATTGTGCCCTAAAATTGAGCATCGCCGCGGTATATGTAGACCTTTCTAATCATTACGAGTACAGTATGTAGACTAATAATAATAATAATAATAATAACAATGCATTGGCCTCAATTTTGTTTCAAAGTATCTTCTTTGAGTCATTCAGTTCCAAAATCTGGTTACCATTGATGAAGAAACATCGTGTTAGTAAATGGCTATCCGGCCTGGCCCTAAAATTGATTGAAACTTTCGTTTGCATGGATATGTCAAAAAATTTAAGAGTTTTAGTATACTCTGAAGAATTAGCGTATGATTGTCATGTTTTTTGTCCTATGACAGAAGCCACCTAACAAACTCTACCAAGTCATACTTTTCGAACCAATCATGCACTGGTTTATGTTCACGGCCCGGTATTATCTGTTTCATCATGATTTATATTAATTTATAATGTATTATTTATTTTGATTAATTGAATTTTACAATTTTATCTAATAAAAAAGGTCTTATTAATTAAAAGTAATGTAAATATTTATATTTTAAAATAAATTTTAATATATAATAAATGTGAGATTCATAATTTTTTTTTTTTGAGATCACAATATTCTTCTCCTCCACCGATAGTTTACCATCATTAGTAGCACATTGCTAATGCTTAAAATTAATTATGATATCAAATATTATAATTTATATTAATTTGTAAAAAATTATCTATTTTGATTTATTGGATTTAAAAGTTTTGTTTTATAAAACTTATCTTAAAGTAAAGTGTCAAGAGCATTTATATTTTAAAATCAATTTTAATATAGGGAGATTCATTATTTTTCTAAGCTCATAGCACCGACATTAATATTATATATTTTGTACTACCACGCATTAAAAGTAGGGTGATGGAAAGGACATCCTTTGTTTTTGGATAAATGCTGAAAATAGAGTTGCTTGCACTAACCGACCTATACCTATAAATAAATCAGAGGGCAACACGTGTTTATCGCCACTAAATTGCTACCCTTCTCTTGGTTTTGTTTCGTTGCGTGTTGCATTTCTCTTTTGTATCCTGTTTTTGGCATGGACCTAGTGCGAATCCAGAGACAGACAGGCGTCATGGCCACCAGAAAAAAATTAACAACTTTATAGCACCGGTCTCATCAATTAATTCATTACATTAATGCTATTCCCAACATATATGAGCCATTTGAAATTTTGGAGCTCAATTTTTGAGACATAGAATGGGGCATTAAAGTTGTTTTGAGGGATAATTGTGATCACGGATTTATCTGTTGGGGTTAAATTTAATTTTTTATTCATATGTTTAGGGTTAATTAAGTCAGGAAGATGGCAAAGCTTTTTTATTTTTGGACCGTAAGTTTGGGTTTAAAAAGTTATAAAGAAAATGAAAATAAATGAAAAATAAAATAAGAATAAAAGTGATATTTTTTATTTTTTCCTCTTTTTAATTATTTTTCATTTTTAGAATACTTTTCATAAAAAAATTAAAAAAACTGTCAAATATTAATATCAATATAATATTAATCATGTGATTACGACAAAAGAATACAATCCTTGTTATAAATTTCGGTGTTCAATTGATTACCACATGGCATTTTTTTCAAAGGAAAGAAAAGAATTTAAATATGAATGCTTATTTATTATTTATAACAAAATAATAATACTAATGATAAATATAAATAAACAAAAATATAACAACTAGAAACAAAACTTAAATTAAAATCAAAATTTATAATTGTGGTACCTTTTTTCTTTTATTCTTTCTTTTGTTTTAGTTATTTTTACAAACGTTATAATTTATAACAAATTAAAAAATTATACAATTAATAAAAATACAATACCTATAACATAACATGAAATAAACAAAGAAATGTAATCATATCATATAAAGTACTATATCTATTTTTTTAATTTTATTATTTTTATAATATTTTGCTTTATTTTTATTAGTTTATATTAAAAAATTATAAATATATTTAAAACAATAAAAAGTTTGCAATCCACCTAAGCGAAGCCGAGTGTAATTCTCGTCAAATATAATATTGAATCCCCTCTTTCATTGAATTTATTATTTAACCTCCCTTCATTTACCTAATTTTGCCTACGCATGGATCTAATTGAGACTGGTACGTCTTAATCAAAGAATTTTGGATTTCGTAGACTTATATTGAAGCATGTAAAATATAATATAAAATTATATAAATAATGTTAATTATATTTTCTTAAATTTAGTAAAATATATATATGTATTATTTAGAAAGAAAAGGAAAAATTAAGGTTTAGTAAAACTTAGGCTTGACTTGTTTTTAAGATGATTGAAATTTGAAATCCAAAGTTGGAAGTTTATTTCTTCCTTACCCCTCTTTTTAAGCAATATTGTTGGTGAGATCTCCAAACTTCGATGCTTGATCCGGCTTTGGGCGATGACCTGTTTTTAAATGCAAAAATAAAAATTATAGATAGATCAGTTTGTCAAATTCGTAGCAGCTCAATTTGCGGAAATGTGAGCATCTTCTGGTTTTAATAAATTTGGATATATATTTTTAGATAAATATTTTTTATTTTAAATTTTGATTTCTATATATTTGTGAAGAAAGTTTGATCTTGTTAGGCAAAAAAAAAAAAAAAATTAAGTCTCAATTTGGTTGATACTGTTCCTAAATACCAATTTAAAATAATTGATGTGCTTAAAATAGAATCATGAATTTTATCATTTAAGGGAATTAAACATATTTCAAGTATAACTTTTTTAAAAAAATTTTAATTTTTTTCTATTTAAAATTTAAACATATTTTTAATTTTTGTTATTTTTATAAAAATAAAAAGCATTAATTAAGAGTTTTTTTAGATAGATCTTTTCTTGCGGATGTAAGAAAGGGAGCGTGTTTCACATGCATCGTGTTTTCACGTGTAATTAAACAAGGTGAACTGGTATACAATTCGGAGGACGAAAGAAAAAGAAAGAAAATAAATTTGGTTTATATTAGAATTAGTTCTCAACAGCGTTTGGCACGCCTATTATGATTTTCTTATTATTAAATAAAAAGAAACATTTAATATGTGTGTAGTGGATGGACATACCAAGTTACCAACAGCACTAATTACATATGATGGCCAAAGATACGGAAGAAATGTCGATCAGGTAATTCATATAATTATGTCATTTAAAACATTTTAATAATGTATATATTTATATAGTATTTTATGTAAAAATTATACGTTAAAATTTATAAAAATATAAAAAACATGAAATATGTTTTTTTAATTTTTGTTAAATTCATATAATTTTTGTAATAATTTTAATTTATATATTTTTTATTTTTTTATATTATATTTTAAATTATTAAATCGTAAAGAAAAGGAATTCCACATAAATTTAAGAAAGTTGATGAGAATGGTGGCAAAAAGAAGAAATTCATCATTAACTTTGTTATATTTTACTGAAATCTAACAAAAATCTCATACTTACAAAAAAATTTTCTTAAAAATCGACAAAAAAAAAAGCACAACATTAGGAAAATGTTTGTCTCAAGAAAGTTGCTTTTGAAGGAGATGCTTATGTATAAAAAGACAAACGGCTAGGAATATTTAGTTACTATATATTTCCCCGTTTTGAATAAGAAAACAAGTTAGATTGTCATTATAAGACAGAGACTGTTATTTTCATCTCAACCCCACTTCTATACCTTACTTAATATTAATGTTTTCAACTAAAGAATTATACATTTCAATACGTTGAACTTGTTAATCATTGATATTAAAATTTTCCATGATAAAAAGACATGGTTTGTTTTTAATTTTTCTAAGCTGGAATATGCGCAAAGTTTTGGCATTTATATAGAAAGCAAGGTCAAGGAATCTAATACTGTTGATCAAGCTCCAAATGCTTTGCAATTTGTGCTCCACCAGCAAACTAAGGCCAACTTCATGAAATGGAGCATCTTCGGTTTTCACAACTATTCAAGATCCTTTTCTTAATATATTGTTTCAATTGAAAACAACTGCACATTTAATTATAAGCTTCACTTTTTACATAAAAAGAGAAGCTTTATGTTAAAAAAAAAAAAAAAAAAGCTTTTACAAAAGTCCATTTAATCACAAGATTATATTTAAAAGTTAAAGTTTTCAAAAATTGAACATTAATTAATGAAACTATCAATTTAACCATTCTATCACAATAAATTTTAACATTATTTTATGAAGAGACCACAAAACTTACTGCTAAAAGTTTTTTTATATAAAAGCAACAGTCGTTTTTAGTGTCAACACAAAAGCTATAGCTAAATTATTGTTTCTTCTTTTCATCGATGCAAACCAAATCTCAGCTTTTAGCATATTTTTTATTCTATGTTATATGTGAAAATTAAATTAGCATAAGCTTCTGTTTGGTAGAAATTAAGAAAGAAGAAAAAATTTTAATTTAATAATTGAGTTATAAAATAGCACATCTATATTCCATATATTAAAAATTAAATGCTGAACACCTGTATAATATTATAAAATATTTATTTTACCCTTTAATTAATCGGTATAAATATTACAATTACAGCCAATAATAATCAACAGCTAGAAGAACCAATACAAATGAGGCATTAAAAAGGGATTATGACAGTATAGGTTTTCAAAGGTTTTGGGCATTTTTACGGTTTCTGTTTGGGATTTCTAATCCAAAATCATATCATATATTTATATATTAAAAACTTTTTTAAGAGACATTTGATTTGAAAGAATCTAAAATTTTTCTCAGTACCTTGTGAGAATATGATTTTCACATTTGGTTAAGATTTTTTGGATAATTTTAAATTTTCAATGGTACTTACAAGTTTTAGAATTAGAAATCTTTTTTTTTTTTTTTGTGATTTTTCAAGATTTCATGATGAAAGTAACTTTTGTCCCATATTTTACCTAAATAAAAATATTTTTTTATTTTATTTTTTTGAAAATCAATGTATAGTAAAACTATTTTTTTACAAATATTAAATATTGTATTTGTTAAAAATAAATGCAGTAATTGAATTACTTTTCGCTAAAAATTTTTTTAATTGAGTTGTCAAAACCATAGTTTTTTTTTTTGTTAATTGAATAATATTAATTATTGTGTTTATTTTAATAAAAACGTTGATATCTACTTTTTTTTTTATTTTTCACATTACAATAC